AGGACTAAAATGAAGATTTAAAATGCAGTAGAAAACTTGAAGAATAGTGACATAAACAATGAACAAAAATTCCTTTCCATTAACGTAGGTATTAAACTTACATGAACTTTCACGAAAAAAAATTCAATATATGATAACAACTACAAAAGATATTCATATAAGCTAAGATCATCTTTATTAACAGCAATTTCACAAGAATTAATAAAAAACTCACAAAAAGAAAACATGAAATTAGCTCAATAACTATAAATCCAAATAGTGCACTGATAAGCAAGAAATAGATTATGTTCACAAGTTTTTGATCCAAATAGCCACTAAATTCACATAAAATCAAGGAACTTAATCAAAATATATCAAGCAACACATAAAACTAAAGTCCTAAAGAGAAGATAGATTAAATAGAACTCCATGAGGAGAGAAGTTCCATGCCAAAGTGGACTATTCTCATTTGGTTGCACCTGCACCTTGCTTCCAGCCAAAACTTCCAACTCTGATCTAAAATTTTATGCTACAAATTTGAGTCTAATTTTTATACATGTTGTATATCCTTGGATTAGGAACCTGTGAAGAAATTTTTGAATAAGAACTAGTGAGATTTGATATAGTTTTAATTCAAAAACTACAAGTACATTAGTAATAACAATTTCACAAACAACTTGAGAAATGAAAAGAAACTAGTTGATTTGAGCTGAAAATTGATTGAAAATGTAAAGTTTATTGCAAGTTTTGGAAAGATCACACAAAAATACATTAGAACATGTAATTTGGCAGCAAGTTTCAATGAAGAATCTAAAAAAAAAAATGTTTGGAAGCTAAGAAAATCTAAGAATAGAATAGAAAATGAAATGCAATAAAAACAAAAAATTCTAAACCTTGGGTAAAGGTTTTTTATGGCTAGCCCTCTCCCCTTATTTATAGATACAAAGGAGGGGACTTGGGTCTTAAAATTATCCAAAAATGTTCAAGCTCTAGAGGCTTCATTCTTTTGGCTAGTGCACAGCTAAATTGCACCTAGCCCACAACTGGGTCATTGGTTCCTCTCTTGATGCTGGGCTCTTTTTCAATAGATTTTAGCTTCAATCTTTTACATGTATTTGCTTCAACCAAGTCAATTTAATAACCAATCATAGCATCTAGAAATGCCACATTAGCTCTTTAATTTGGTGCACTCCAAGCTAGCTTATTCATTGTTGTAATTACTTAATCTTCCATACACATCTATGCACATCCCACATTTTTCTTGCCTTTAAATTTTTTTCTACAAAAAATTTCCATACAATCTATTTTTATCCTACATTTTACCAAAAAACATTATAAAAATAATATTAAAAAATTATTCAAGAAAAGTCAAGAAAACTCCTTAAGTGTCAATGTGACCTATTGACAATAGTTTAGGCCATTTGCACAAATTTCACCAAAATTTCCTCCAAATTGTATCCAAATTGACCAAAATTTCTCATTTTCTTTAATTGCACTAACACATAAGAATAATGTGCATTTAGGAATTTTTTTGCTAAACATACGAAAGAACAAGCCAAAATATAATTCAAATTGCACTAAAAATAAGCGTGAAGAAACTAAAATTTAGGTGCAATCAAATTGCTTTTAAGGATTGTAGATCTAGCTTTTACTTTCAGCATTTTACATTTTCTAGATCTAACTTGTGGCTTTTAATGTTCTGTAACTTTCCTTGCATTTTGTTTTGAGCATCTTTAATTCATTTGCATTTTAAGTCTTGCTACATTACCCTTTTTACATTTAAGACTTAGTTTTAGATTGAGTTCATTTAGAATTATTTGTTAGATGTTTTGGTTTTAGGTTGAATTTCATTTTCATGCCTTTTACTTACTATTTTGTTTTGATTCAAGCTTTATATTTCATGTTCATTAGTTTAGAAACACTTTCCTTTATTGTTTGATTTCAATTAATGCCTTTTAGCTATTCTTTTGTTTACATTTACGTGTTATGCTTTCTCTATGTATGCTTTAGTGAAGTTTGGTTTGTACAATTTAAATTCTTGTTCATGCTTTCCTTTCAAGTTTAGCTTTGTGATGCCTACTATATTTGAAGGAGTTAACTTTAGATAGAGTATACCAATAATAGGTACTTAGCTATGATCTCTTTGCTAGTCCTCGTAGGAACAATACTTTGACTCTTGTAACTATTATTACTTGTACGACCTATGCGCTTACATAATTGACTAATGAAGTTTTTGGTGCCATTGCTGAGAATTAGGTTGTAAGATTTCATTTAGGCTAATACTGTGCTTTGACATGCTATTCTATAGACTAATTCACCCTTTAGTTTGCATACTCTAGGCTAGTTACTAACTTACCTTTATTTTTTTTTAGGGTGTACAAAAGCTAACTTTCCTTGTTTCTCTATTTGTTAATTGTACATACTTAGTTCCTTTCTTTATAAGCCTTTCATTTGATCTAGTTGTCCTTGTGGCCAATATATGCAATCAATTAGGAGTACTGAGTTAATCCCTCCTCATCTTGAAATAAAAAACTCACTTATGAGAATTAGCAGGGAGAGACAAGCCCACCCTATTCCAATGGCTGAGCAAGCTGACTCTAGAGCCCTTAGAGATTATGTTGTACTTGACCTTAAGGGTTTCCAACCTAGCATTGGGTGGCTAGCTATTCAAGCCAATAATTTTGATATTAAACCTACAATCATCCTAATGATTCAATCTTTAGAGCAATTTTATGGTAATGTAAGTGAAGACCCTAATGCTCACTTATGGGATTTCTTTGAGATATGTGACACATACAAACATAATGATGTTACTAAATATGCCATTAAACTTATGCTATTTCCTTTTTCCCTTACAGATCGAGCAAAGAGTTGGTTATCCTCATGCCATTGATTCAATTACTACTTGGGATGATTTGGTTCTGAAGTTTGCAGCTAAATTCTTTTCTCTAGCCAAGATGGCCAAGATAAGGAATGACATTACTACCTTTGGCCAACATGACTCATAGACCATGTATGAGACTTAGGAAATATACAAGGAGCATTTGTGGAGATGTCCACACCATGGACTATTGAAATGGCTAGAAATTCATATTTTTTTATAATGGGTTCATAGCTACCAATCGGACTATTTTAGATGCTACCATAGGTGATGTTGTCATGCATAAGACCTCTAACATTGCTTATGAGTTGATTGAGGATATGGCAACCAATAATTATCAATGGTCTAATGAGAGGCAGTATCTTAAGAAAACCTTAAAAGTGTCTGAGGTTAGTGTTTTTATCGCCTTAAGTGCTAAGGTAAAATCTTTAGCCAAAGCCTTTGAGAACATGAACATGAAACTTACACCTACTAAGCCTAGTCCTAGTCAATCAAAACCTACTCAAAACCTATTCACCTATTGTGAAGTTTATGGGCAAGGTCATACCCATGATATCCTGTTCAGACTAAGAGTATTCACTACTTAGGTCAAAATAATAGGCAAGCCAATAACCCCTATTCTTTCACATGTAATCCTAGATGAAGAAGTAATCCAATTTTTTCTTAGAATCAAACTCAAAACCAAATTCCTTTCTTATTTAGTCTACTCATGCTACTTAACAGTTTCACCATGCCAACATATAAAATCCCCTTAGTTTTCTTTATAATTCTTATCAATAGCAAAATCCACATCTAAACACATCTTAACATCAATCCATACCACATTTTGAAAAGAAATTTTTAATAGAAGATCTCTTAAATTCTTTGATAAGGACTCAAACTTCCTTTATATGAACAAAGGACACTATGTTTCATAATCAAATTGCATCTACTTAGAGTCTTAAGACACAAATAGGTTAGTTAGCTAACCTTCTTAGTACTAACTGCAAGGCACTTTATCTAGTAACACTAAAGTCAATCCTAGAAGAGAGAAGAAAGAGTAATGTAAAGTAATCACCCTTAGGAGTGGTAAGTAGTTAGCTGATGATACTACTCAAGCTTTACCTAAAGGTGTAGTTGAGGAGTTTGGGGTTGAAAGGGGGAAGTTGAAGTTTAGAAAAAAGATAAAGGTAAAGAGGTTGATGAGATGGTTGAGCATATCAAAATTTTAGTACCTAGCTCCTTTAAGCCTATTCTTTTTTGACTTAAGTCACCTAGGCCTTGTATTCATTTCTTTCAAAGGTTTCAAAATAGAAAGAGGAGAAGCAATTTCCAAGTTTTTAAGGGTGTTTAAAAAGCTTCATATTAATATCTCTTTTACAAATGCATTAGAGTCAATACCTACCTAAGCCAAGTTTATGAAGGACATAATCTCTAGAAAAAAGAGATTAGAGGACTATGAGATAGTGGCACTCACCAGTAAGTGTATTTCACTAATACAACAAGGCTTGCCTTTTAAGCTCAAGGATCTTGGTAGTTTCACCATTCCTTATACCATTGGCAATATGTCTTTTGATAAGGCATTATATGATTTAAGAGCTAGCATCAATTTAATGCCTTTGTTAATTTTCAAGAAATTAGGCATAGGAGAAGTGAAACCTACCTTTGTTACTTTGTAATTGGCTAACCATTCACTAAAATATCCTAAAGGGATAATAAAGGATGTACTGGTTAAAGTGGAGAAGTTCATTTTTCCTACTAATTTTATAGTCTTGATATAGAAGTAGATCTTGAGATCTTGGTCATTTTAGGGAAACCTTTCTTAACTACTAGTAAAGCTATCATAGATGCGCAGAAATGGGAGTTAACTACAAAAGTTTAGGATCAAGAGGTCAAACTCAATGTTTTTAAGGCTTTGAAATATCCTGATGATTCTGATGAGTTTCTAGGGTAAAAGTGCTTATAAGTTTAGTTGATAATATTTTTTAGATTAAGCACATGAATTCTCACTCGAACGAACCTTTTGAGATCGATGATATAATAGACATGAAGCTAGAAAATAATGATAAGGGTATAGTTATGGTCTTTACATTTCAATTTTCACTTACCAATACTAAGCTTTTAGATGTTTCTGAGTCTACCCTAAAGTGTTGAAACTTCCATGGTAGAGCCAGTGGTTTTAGAGCTTAAATCATTGCCTTTTCATCTTAGGTATGCTTACTTAAGAAAAGATGATACTCTGCCTCTGATCATTTCAACTTCCTTGACTAATGATTAAGAGGCCAAGTTGTTATCAGTTTTGAGAGATCATAAATTTTCTTTAAGGTGGTCCATAGTTGATATTGGAGGAATCAATCCAACTTTTTGCATACACAAAATCCTGATGGAAGATGGATATAGACCAACCATAGAGCTTCATGGTTATCTGTATCTAGCCATGAAAGAGGTTGTTATAAAGGAAATAATCAAATGGCTTGACAATGGGATCATATATCCGATAGCTCATGGGTCAATCCAATCTAATGTGTGCTAAAAAAGCGTGGGATGACTGTAATGCCAAATGAAAATGATGAGATGATACCTACTAAGACTGCAATTGGTTGGCAGTTTGTACAAACTATAAAAAGTTGAATAAGGCCATAAGGAAAGACCACTTTCCTTTGCCTTTCATTGATTAGATGCTAAATAGGTTATCTAAACATGAGTTTTGTTACTTTCTTAATGAATACTCCAAATATAACCAAATAGCCATAGTACAGAGGATCAAGAGAAAATATCTTTTACATATCCTTTTGGAACCCTTGCTTTTGGGATAATTCCATTTGGATTATGTAATGCCCTAGCTACATTCTATAGATGTATGATGGTGATATTTTCTGACATGGTAGAGGATTTCTTAGAGGTTTTCATGGATGATTTCTCTATCCTAGGTGATAGCTTTGATATGTGTCTTGCTAATCTACCTTTAGTCATGAAAAGTTGTGAAAAAAACAAACTTAGTACTTAATTGGGGAAAAAAGCCATTTTCATCATAAAAGAAGGGATAGTACTAGGCTTTTACAAGGCTAAATTGGAACATTAATAGCTTTCAATTAGCTAGAAATTAAAGATCAATTGAAGGATGTTTGGCACCTAAAATTGAAGACAAAGATCAATACTTAGTCATTGGATGCATTTGGCATAATAATGGTGGAATTAGCACCAAGATTTGATTCAATTAGGAAAGCTATGATAACACCAAAATATATATAGTTTTTACATGATAAAATGTTGCTAAAATTTAAAATTTTGAATGATTTTTGGTGCTTTTTCATGCTATTTTCATGGCTATAGGTTTTCAAACACAGAACTCATTTTCATGCAAGCCATGCATATAATCATGCAAAGCGCACATTTGACCCAACCAAGCAAGTATAATGTTGCCCACCATTGGTCCAAATTCAAGCATGCATAAGCCCACTTGGATCTCAATCCATTTGGCTAAGATGAAACTTCAAGATAATCATACTTCCTTTGCTTAGCCAAGAAGAGAACACATGGCACAAGGACTCTACAAGCTCCATCACATTTGGCCAAAGCAAATCCAAAGAGCTATCCTATATTCCTTCCACAATGGTGACTAGAGGCATTCAGCAAAGATGAAGGTGAAGCTTACCATGAAGGTTGTTGATTAATCTTGAAGAACTTCACTTGGAGTAGGATTTTACTCATTCAAAATTCAAGAATTGGAATAAAATCCATTTGCTCTTGGAACTCCAAGCCTTAGCTGAATCTAATAGGGTAGATTATCCAAGATTTGATCAAGATGCAAACAAGGGCCAAGATTGATCCACCAAGACTCCATTCGACCAAGAACATTCAAGCATAGAGAGTCCCATTCAGCCATGAAGCTTAAAAGACCAAGATAAAGCTCATCCAATTACATTTGAATTAAAATCAACCACTTATGTAGTTTATCCCCCTTAGACAAACCTATGCTTATAAATAGGCAAAACCATTTACTTGTTTCATCGTCCTTCTCCTCACCTCTTTTCTTTTTTCTAGTTTCTTTAGTTAGGGTATTGGTTTAGGTGATAGATTTGCCAATTACCAAATTCTTGTTCTTTAATTATTTTCAATCAAGAAATGTTTTCATTTAAAGATTTCTATTCTTGTCTTCTTGTTTACAAAATCTTGTTCTTGTTTTCTTTACTATTAGGCAAAGTATTCTTTTTCCAACATTGATCTAAGTTTTCTTTATTTTCTTGTAAGATTCGACTACATGTTTTTTCTTGATCTTTAATTTCTTTCATGCAACCTTTATTTACTTTCAAAACAATTTAGCATTCTTGTTTACAAGCTTTTAATTCTTACTGTATAATCCTTTAAGTTTAGGTTCTAGGATTAGTTGTTTGGTATTTGTCTTTTACTTCCTAAGTGATAGTTAGTGAAGCTTAGAACCCTACCATATATTACCTTTAATCTTCACTTTAATCTATGTCTATTGAAACCTTGAAGCCCTATGACCCTAAAACCTTACAAATTCATTTGTTTAGATATAGGATCTCAGCCTTTCACCTTTGGTACTTGTGAACTACCCAATACCACATTGTATAATCCTTGAGGAAACGATACTTAGAATACTCCACTTTATTACTTGATCTGTGCACTAGCAAGCTCTATACAAAAAGCAACAATCAAGTTTTTGGTGCCATTACCCAAGATTATAGTGGTGTTCGCAATATCAATAAAGAATTCTTAAGCTCCTAAAATCCAAACTTTTTTATTTTTGTTTATATTTCTTTTACTTTTCTTTGATTTTTTCTTGTTTGCATGCACAAATCTAAAAGTGTTGACTTAGCTCCAGTTGATCAAGAGATTGAGAGAACTTTTAGATAAAGAAGAAAAAAGCAATCAACACCATTACCACCTATTCTTATGGCAAATGTAAATAATGAAGGGCAAAGAACTTTGAGAGACTATGTAGCTCCTAATGCAAATAGTTTTCAGCCATCCATTTGAAGGCCAACTATTCAAGCCAATAACTTTGAGATAAAGCCTTCAATTATATAAATAGTCAAAATTTAGTGTAGTTTGGAAGACTACCAAGCAATTATCCAAATTCACATCTTTCTAATTTCATTAAACTCTATAATACTTTTCGTTAAAATAGTGTTTCTGATAAGGCTATTAGACTAAGAATGCCTCTTTTTTCTCTCAAGGACAAAGCAAATAGTTGGCTATCTTCTATATCACCAAACTCAATTACAATATGGGATGATCTAGTTTAAAAAATTTGGAAAAGTCTTTTTGACTAGCAAAGACTACAAAAATAAGGAATAAGATCACTACCTTTTTGTAGGCTGATGGTGAAACTTTATATGATAGATGGGAAAGATTTAAAGAATTGCTTAGAAAATGCCCACATCAAGGTTTACTCTTGTGGCTCTAAATTAAGATCTTTTATAATGGTCTTAAACCACTTATATGAACCATTTTAGATTCAGCTGCTAGAGGGGCTATAATGAGCAAGACTCATGAGAAGGCTAATGGGCTAATAGAAGAGATGGCTACCAATTATTACCAGTGAGGCATGGAAAGAAAGCCAATAAAAAATCTACTGGTTTATTTGAATTTAATGCTATTACTTCCATTAACTTTCAATTGTCTACCTTTACAAAAAACATTGAAGGCCTAGGTAATCAAACACAAGCCAACCCTATTAATGCCATACAAAGTCCCTTTATAACCTATGACATAAGTGAAAAACCCCATTCCTTAGAAAGATGCCAATATAGCATAGAACCTATCCACTACATCTAATAAAACAAACGAAACAATATTTCCTATAACAATACCTATAATCCTAACTATCAAAATCACCTTAACTTTTCTTGGAACCAACCAAACCATCAAGTCACCAACAACCAAACCAACAACTATGCCTTAATCCACCAAACTATAACTAAGAAAAGAAGCCTATAATTGAAGACATGTTGACTCAATTGATAGAAGCTAACAATGCCAACATTCAAAGCCACGCTGCATTCATCAAAAACCTAGAAAATCAAATTATTTAACTTGACCAAGCCATAGAAAATCACCCAGTAGGTACCCTGCCTAGTAATACTAAAACCAATCCAAAAAGACAAGACAATAAGGGATGCAATGCAATATATTCTTTTGGGGATGTTAGGATGAATGATTCTGATGAGGAAAATGATAAACCTATAGTTGTCAAGTTACCTGACTTTGTAAGATAGCCTAAAATGAATTTGATTATAAGGGAGGATATTTTAGAGGATGAAGAGCTTTTAAAACTTGGTAGAGAAATCTAAGAGGTTTTTAACCCCATGGCATTAGATGCCCCTGAAGTTATTGAAACTTGTAAAAAAGACCTTGAGGAAAAAAATGATGAGATGGATTATGAGGAAGATTGAAAAATATATAGTAAAAGGTCTCTGAAAGAAGGGTAAATACTGCTATAAGTAAAGAAAGCATTAGTAGAAAGCATTCCACCTGAAAATATGACCCAAGGTGCGCTTGCCCAAAATAATCAAGAAGAAAGGATAATGCAAAAAGAGGATCCCCAAGAAGAAAATCCTAAAAAAAAAAAAATAAATTCAAGAGAAAGTTCAACAAAGGCAAAAAATGACTACTAGAATGTACAGGTAGTGTTTTAATGTTAACCCACCTCCCCAAGAATTGTTCCAAAGAAGCTACTCAAAGAACTCAAAAAAGCCATATTCTTATAAGAGTGTAGCCCTAAGCTTCAACAACTTCTACCTAAAAAGCTAAAAAATCCAAGAAGTTTTACTATACTTTACATTATTAGAAAATTGAAATTCTTTGATGCTCTTTAGGATCTTGGTTTAAGCATAAATTTAATGCTTATGAATCTTTTTGTGTAGCTAAGGTGTGGAGAACTAACACGTCCTACATTCAACATTAACTTCATTGATCAATCTACTAAGTTACCATAAGGAATGCTAAAAAAATGTCTTCATGAAGGTTGAAACATATGCTTTTCTTATGGATTTTGCTATTTTAGATATGGAGGATGATCAGGTTGCATTACTTTTACGTGGACCTTTCCTATTCACTGCCAAAGCCCTGATAGATGTATATGAGGCTAGCACTACCCATAGATTCAAACATAAGAAAATGTAATTTGTATGTGCAAAGTATGGTGTGATAAGACATAAAAAAGGTGTTCGTGTAGTCAAGGAATTTAAAGAAACCCAAAAAGAGTCTAACCTATTAGTAAAGCCTCGTGACACTCTGAAAATCTTAGTAAACCCTAGCTCTAGTATTGTCAAACCTTCTAAAAACTCAAGCTCAATTTATGTAATCCCTGCTATGAGAGTCAGCCTATCTTCTCAAACTAAGTCCGTTTATGTCATACCACAAAAAAAGAGGTAATAAGGAAAACTCCCTTCTAAAGGATGAAATGATTCCGCATAGATTAGGGATGGTCAAGCTTGACCAAAACTGGCATTGCATGGGAGGCAACCCAAGTCCTACTTTAATGGTTATGATTTTTTTTTATTTTTTTAGGATAAGTATGTTTTTAATGTTTTTGTTTGAGTTTTTTTTTTTTTGGGGAATGACGAGAAGCAAGGAAAATGCATCATGGATATTCAACCTTGAAGACTTTTGGAGAGTATTTCTTTTTCTTTTGAGCTTTTTTATATATGATTCCATTTAGGTGTGGGGAAAAAAGAAAACTTTTTTGTTTTAACTCATCTTTACTTTTTAAACCAAATTAACTTGCTAAACTTCATTATGATATTCACTTAGTTGGAAATTATATATATTCCCTTAAATGACTAAAGTATGATATAAAGTTTAAGTATGGATATAGTAGAACTTGAAAGAATTCTTGAACATATCTTTGGTTTCACTAAGGTTTTTATGCATGCATCTCTACTCTCTTTCTATGAAATGCTATAATTTTTGAGTGAGTTTGTGAAATATGGACTTGCAAGAATTTAAGATTTGAATAAATACTCTAGAATTCATATTCAATCCTTGAGGCAAAATTCTAGACTGTATTAGGCTCAAGAGATGATCTAAGTAATTTTTTGGACCATTTAAGACTTTTTCAAGCCTACCTTATGATCATGCATCCCTAGTACCCTTATTTTGAGCCTTTATATTAATCATTTTCTTTATTTATTTAACCACATTACAAGCCTAATATGGTTTTTATTTAATTATTATCCTTTCTTTTGTTGTCCCAACCCACTATTCTTGCTTGTTTGTCATAGACATAATTCTATATTTGGGAAGAAGGAATGTGTCAAGAAAGTATAAAAATTGGCAAAAGCAAAGGCAAAGCCTAATAAAGCCAAAAATGGTTTTCATTAAAAAAAGCCAAAAAATACAAATCAATAAAGAATGCCTCACATGTCAAAGTCTCAAAAAGAGTTCCCAATTGTTCAAAGTCTAAGAAGTTCAAATAAAAGTAAGCTTATGGTTTTAAGCCTAAAAATTCCCTTTTTTCTATCTTGACCCATGCCTTACATTACAAGCCTATAAGACCTTTTAATCTTAAGTTAAATATGTAGGTGTAACATTAGTGGAAAGGGTTAGGGAAAATGGACATATAAAGCCTATCCTATCCTAAATTGAAATGTGGTTGAATTTTTACTTTTGTTTTG